TTCTTGTCTAACGTCCACCTTAATATACTGTTTCTTGTCTAACGTCCACCTTAATATACTCATTCTTGTCTAACGTCCACCTTAATATACTCATTCTTGTCTAACGTCCACCTTAATATACTCATTCTTGTCTAACGTCCACCTTAATATACTGATTCTTGTCTAACGTCCACCTTAATATACTGATTCTTGTCTAACGTCCACCGTAATATACAGATTCTTGTCTAGCGTCCACCTTAATATACTGATTCTTGTCTAGCGTCCACCTTAATATACTGATTCTTGTCTAGCGTCCACCTTAATATACTGATTCTTGTCTAGCGTCCACCTTAATATACTGATTCTTGTCTAGCGTCCACCTTAATATACTGATTCTTGTCTAGCGTCCACCTTAATATACTGATTCTTGTCTAGCGTCCACCTTAATATACTGATTCTTGTCTATCGTCCACCTTAATATACAGATTCTTGTCTATCGTCCACCTTAATATACAGATTCTTGTCTAGCGTCCACCTTAATATACAGATTCTTGTCTAGCGTCCACCTTAATATACAGATTCTTGTCTAGCGTCCACCTTAATATACAGATTCTTGTCCAACGTCCACCTTAATATACAGATTCTTGCCTAACGTCCACCTTAAGATACATTCTTGCCTAACGTCCACCTTAATATACTCATTCTTGTCCAACGTCCACCTTAAGATACTGATTCTTGTCCAACGTCCACCTTAAGACTTATTAAATGACAAACTTAACTTCAATCTGTAAACACATAATAAGACTAACCAGACGTTTGAATAATTTATTGAACACAGTTGTATCTAAGTTTATAATGCTATTTTTTGATTTATGAAGTTTTCCATAAATATAATTTTTTTTCAGAAATTAATGGTGTGCATTACGAAACTACTACACTGAATATTTTTGTTATATTTAAAATCCATAAACTATGTTTCAGCTCCAGCAGAGGGCGTTCTTGGCATCAGCCGTTCAGCAAAACCTTCAGATTCAACAACAACTGATGCACCAAAACCAAGCTCTTCAGCAGATGCTGCACACGAACGTGGTCAGGTTTTGTTCATTATAGACCATAATATAAACTTTCCCATTGAATGTTTAATTAAAGATAAAAATAAAAAAATCTAAACGTTTTGTAGAAAAAAAAAAGTATTGTATTGGTTTTCTTAAAAACGTATTAATTTAGCCATTATAAGATTATTATATGTGTTGTAGATTATAAGTTAGATAAGCAAGAAGACACATGAATTGTATTTCATGGCCATGCACCGAATACAAGGTATTATTAAATGTAAACAGCGTTGCATTATGGCCATGCACCGAATACAAGGTATTATTAAATGTAAAACAGCGTTGCATTTCATGGCCATGCACCGAATACAAGGTATTATTAAATATAAAACAGCGTTGCATTAGTGTTTGATGCGTTAATTTTCATATTTTCAGGTTTCGCCGACTTCTCCCCCTCAAATAAGTAGCCCACTTCCTAACCAAACCCCCTTGCCCACAGATGGTTTTGCTACCAACTCTATGACTCCAATGCCTTTGTTCTTACCAACAGCTACTGGATTTCCATCTGCCCTTTCTCCACAACAGACTTTGGGCACAGACGTAATGACCCCTGTTCTTCAGACTGCTCCCGTAGCGCCTCCCCCTCTTCCACCTAAATCAACCCAAATGCCTATGACACCCGCACCCCCCTTGCCGGAGAAGACAACATTGGGGAAACGACCAACTACTCCCCGAGATGTCTTCAGTGATGTGTTGTCAGAACTCAAAAGTCGAGCTGGAGGGGATGAACCGCCCCCAGTTTCGCGTCCTCCGCCACCAAGAATGCCTGGGGTTCCACCTCCAC